CAACAAGGCAGGAGGATCTTGGATCCTGGACAGCCGGATGGACCAGAATCTTACCGGCCAGGATGACGTGCATCTCAGTTACTACAGGAGTGAGGGGACTATCCTGTTTATCCCACCATTACTTAGGATTCCATACCCAACAGCCAGGTCTGCATCCCACTTAAGACTGTGGACGAGAGCAGCTCCTCAGATCCCAGGCTGCTCCAGCCCTGCTAGGAAAGTGACAGGCCAGTTTAGGAGCCATAATCTGGCAGGAACAGGACCTGTTTTCTTCAATTCCCAGGGCTGACAGAGGTAAGGAGGGATCAGATTAAAGTTCCTCCATTAGCCCCGTCAGTGTAGTTACCGACAAGGGCCAACTGATACACCAAAGGAGAAGACCTCGGAGACTGCCATTGGTGCCCCTCAAGATACCAGCCTACAGATGTGTCATCTTGGACCTATACAATGTTTTATAACAAACTCCTGCCTTAATTAAGCTTTAGGGGATTTTCCATATAAATTTCAATTTACAGCTTGTCTTGAGAAATCAGAGAAGCTGGCAGGTGGACCCCCAAATATCTGCCTAACACTGATAATCTGGCACCTGTGAACACGGGGTTGGGGAGGGGTGGGGTGCACACTTGCCCCCACTTACTCAATAGGCACATTTGGTTTTCCCTCTGGCCTCATCTTCTCCGTTGCACCACCTACCAAGATCCCAGAGACACCTGAGTTTGTGAGCCCTGTCCTCTCTGTCATCTATTAGTGGCTTTACCTCCCTGATCATGGAAGAAGGTTGGAAGAAGAAGAGCTCACTGTCTCTGATCACTTTCTTCTAATATTGTGGGGGGCTTTGTTTCATCCCAAGGCCAAGGTGTGTACAGGATTCCTTTAGAGCACATTTGCAATATCAAAATCTTCCAGAAATATGAATTTCCCACTGCTTCCTTCCCTCTCCCCTCCCTTTCAATTAAGGATGTGTCACACGGATATCACGATGCAACCAGTGGAGATTGACAGGCACCTGTGTGTCCACTGAGAGTGTAAACTGCACACACAGTCCTGATTTCAGCTACAGCCACTATTGTGTGACTGCCAGGAAAGAGCCTGCCCAGAAGGGAAATGATCCTGGGCCTCCAGCCCAGTTCACCTTGCCCTTGCAGTGTGACCTGAGGCATGTGATTCACCTTTCAGAGTTGGTTTAGGCTTCTGTGAAAGCAAGAAGATAACACTTCACATAGGTGTTAGGAGGACTGAGCAAAACACCAGTGACTTTTGCACGGTGCCCAAGCAGCATATATGTGACAGGTGTCAGCGCCCTCCCTGCTAGCATGTCCTGACAATGAATAAATGTGGCCTCTGTGCAATCATTCACTAATGTGGAAAGAGGAACATGCAGGGAGCAAGGAAGACAGGAGAGAAGACCCTGGAGCCAGACTGTTTGGGCTTGAATCCGAACTCCACTACTTAGCAGCATATAACCTCAAGCAAGTTACTTAACCTCTTCGTGCCTCCGTTTTCCTATCTGTGAAATGGGGGTGATGACAGCTGCTACCATATATGCTTGCTAGGGGGATGAAATGAGGTTGATGTAAATGTATCTAAGTACCTGTTACCAATTTGAAGTGGACCATGATGTAGCTCATGTTAAATGTTCTATTTAGAAGAGTGTCTGGCACTTCATAAGCACAGGATCAGTTCAACAGGTCTCTTTCATAGGATTGTTATGAGCTTTCAAAAACCAGCCTCTGAACATGGCATCTTGTGCATAATGAATGTCCATTCCCTCTCCTTGTGAGGAAGACTTATTTTAAAAATCAGGATCCTTCACCTTTTGTCTCCCAGTACCCACCCCCATAGCCCTGCATCCCCCCTGCTTCAACTCTGTCCCATGCTGGGGACCCAGAGCACTGCCCTCCCTGGGTGACTCAGTCGGGGCACTCCGGGTGTGGGCAGTGTGTGGTATGCATTCCAAAGCACTTTCTAATCTATGAGCCATGGATGTTGAGAACAACAAAGGGCACTGCCAGGCTGGGGGTACTCTGGTCACTGTGTGACCTAGGCTAGGCCTCTGTACTTCTCTGGGCCAAATTCTTACCTTTAAAGGGGGATTCTATCCTTGCCCTTCAGCCTCACAGAGCTGCTATAAGAAAGAAGTGAAATTATGCTTACACAGAGGAGCTATGACGTGTCATTATGGGATGTTAAAATCATGTAGCCGGCGGAGGAGGGGCTTTATAGGACAAAAACATAGTGTGGGAAGCCAGATCCCCAACAGCTGGTGAGGGTTACTTCTCAGAAGGGAGTTTTGCTTTCATCTTGTGTCCCAGACCAGAGCCTCTGTGCAATCATTCACTAACCTGGCCCTGGCCTGGAGAAGGAGGGAGAGCAGGCCTGCATGCGCAAGGAGGCCAAATTTGGACTTGGGTTTGGAGCTTGGCTAATGCAGGAGGTGGAATGTGGCCAGGGATGGGGGAGGGGAAGGACTGCATTCCCCACAGCCCGGTGTTGACACTGGTCACTGCAAACCAGGGTTCATTCAGACCAAGGGGATCATCATGGACAATATACCTGCTTTCCCTCCAGCTAGCTCTGGGCTCTAGGGAGGGGAAGCCCACTCAGAGGAACCAGACAGGGCAAAGGGCAGCCTTCAGAGGTGGGGCAGGGGAGGGATGTGTAAATATGGGGATGGAGGAAGGGGAGACTGCTCCTCAGACAGGCCCTGGGGGCTGAAATAATGACCAGAGAGAAGCCACACCAACAGTACTTCCTGTGGGTAAAGCACTTCTGGGGTTAGGAAATGCTTCCCTCGCTATTTCTCCTTTCCTCTCTCATACTAGAGTTCGATCTAGGGTGAGAGACACAGGGAGAGATAGGAGGCTGGTGTATTGAATGGGAGGATGTGGCTCAGGCCAAGTGGACACTAGAGACAAAGCCCCTGAGACCGAGACGGGCTATGGATGAGAGTGTATGTTGAGCACTGCACAGCTGTGGAGAGGCCCTTCCCATTCAGCCTTGCACTTGGATTACTGAATGGGGCAGGGGTGCTGCAAGAGAGGGCAGCTGCTTAATGCACAGCGGTCTTTCTCCCCTACAAGAAGATCCTCCCTCTCCTCAGCCAGGAGTTTACAGTGTGAATAGTGTCCCCTGAAGTTGTGCAACATGGAGCCGGGAGCCATCAGCCAGGCAGTTGAACCAGGCCACTGGCCTGCCCGGAACTGAGGATGCAGAGAGGAAGTACGAACCCCCCACCCCCACCCCCACACACATACTGACACCACTATCCTCCTGACTGGAAACACCTTGCTAAAGCTAGTTTCCGGAGGCTGATGTGGAAAACTGTTTGAGAGCAGATCAAAGAGCATGTTAGGGAAAAATACAGCTAGACAGCCCCCCACCCCAGGCTCCTCTGGTACATGCTGCTTTCCAAGCCACAGAACCCTTCAGCAATTCCCAGCTCTACCCTGGCCCAACAAGGTCAGAAGACCTGAATCGCATAGCCAGCAGTGGAGTGCCTGAGACAGCACATCTGTGTGTGCTAGGATGGACAAGTCTGCATTCTTGGGGCCTCTACTCCTTGGAGTATGTGGGATGTCCCATGAGCTCCAAGCTGTGCACCAAATATGTGTACACTGACATCTAGGAACAAGTGTACCTCTGAGCGGGAAATGGAAAGGGAATGTCTGTGCTGAAGGCCCAGGGATCAGCTGATGCTATAACAACTTATTATTATTATTATTATTATTATTATTATTATTATTATTTTAGTTGTAGATGGACATATACCTTTGTTCTATTTATTTTTATTTATATGTGGTGCTAAGGATGGAGCCCAGTGCCTCACACATGCTAGGCAGGCACTCTATCACAGAGCCACGCCCCTAGCCCCTGATGCTATTTCTAGGGCCTGGGATGCAGGTAGATTGCAAGTCAGACCTCTGGGGAGAAGGGGGCGTGGCAGGTGATGGAGGCTGAGAAGGGAACCCACAGAGTGGGTCAGGAGACTGGCTTAAACTCTAGCCCCCCTGGTCCTTCACTATGACACCAATCCCAAAGGCCCAGCTGTGTAGATTCCAGCCCTGGCTTGTCCCCGAGGAGGTCCTGGGGAAGCAGACAGGATGGAGCCCTCACTTATTGGAGGAAAAAACTCCAGATACAACCCTATGAAGACCTTCTTATGGGAGGTCCCAATCTTGTAGAGGAGCAGGCTGCATTGCTCAAGGTGGCCCCAATCTGATAATGGACACCAGATAACACCCAGACAATGTACCTGTCTGCTGGGGAGGGTTGGGGGTAGACAGAAAGTCCCTAAAGATTGGTGCTGGCGGACAGCTGTACCCAGTTGCTATATTTCTTCCATCCTGTGCCCAAAGCAAGAATAGGATTCCTGGAGAGGTGGGCGTGCCTCTGCCCCCAGCGGCCGCAAATCAGCTCAGCTCAGACTCTGGTAGTGAGCAAGGGGTGAGGAGAGAAGCCAGGCCTGGGGCTGGAAGAGCTGGGTTATAAATAGGTCTGAGAGCAGGCCTTCCGGGAGAGGATCCCAGGGGAGCCCTGCGACACCGTGCTTTGCTACCCACAGTGCTCAAAGACACATTTCAAGAGTCCAGAAGAAGTGAAAGGAGAGATGCTGCCTCAGGGCCAGGCCCCAGAAAGCGCTGCTCAGCCATCTCTCTCTCTCTCTCTCTCTCTCTCTCTCTCTCTCTCTCTCTCTCTCTCTCCTCTCTTCTTCCTCCTCCTCCTCTTCTTCTTCTTTTCTTTTCTCTCTCTCCTTCTCTTTCTGTCCTTCACTCTCTCTCTCTCTCTCTCTCTCTCTCTCCTTTTCTCTTTCCCCCCCTCTCAGCCTCAGTTTCCCTCTGAGTCGCCCCTCCTCAAGGATGTCACGCTTTTGCCACATTCCACCGCACTCTGGCGGCTGGGACAGGGTCCCCCACCTCCAGGCGCTCTCCAGGGTACAGAGCCGTGGCGTCTCCTCCCCCGACCCCACCCTAAGCCCTGGCGGGAGCTCGGGCCCCTCCTACCTGCAAACACCGCGGAGCAGTAGGCATCGCTGATGTCGGTGTCCGGGGTGTGGACGTTCTCGGCGTAGAGGATGAAGACCCTCAGCATGCCTGGCGCGCCTAATGTCCCGTGCGCCCCGGGAGCGAAGAGGGCTGGGAAGGACCGGTCGGGCCGGACCGAGGCGCTGCTCGCGGGTGCCCTCCCTGGAGAGGGCCGGTGGAGCGAGCCTGCCTCCGGATCTCTGGCTCCTGGATCAGAGCAGCTGCTCTTAAAAGGGAACAGGCCAACCCAAGCCTCTCCAGTGGGCTAGGCTCGTCCCCGCCCCCTGGCTGCGCTCAACGCCAGTCTGCGGGCGTTGCGAGAGCAGGGGCTTCTATTCATTGTCCACCCCCGCAGCCCTACGTCGGCTCCACAGAGCTGTAATTCAATGCTCCGGCCACCAGCATCCCCAATGACACGGCACTTTACACCTGACTGGTGAACCGCGGACAGGGCGGTGGCCGCGACAGCCTGGGACTGGACCTGGACTCAGCGCCCGGCGTAGCCTAGATCCCTCTCACTTATGCTCGGCCCTTCTCCTGACTTTATACCCCCAGCGGAGCGCTGCTCCAAGCCTGTCTCCATAACTCTCCAGAAGCCACACGACCTCTCTGAGTAGGACCCACAGGGGATCCCTAGGTAGGGCTGGGGAGCAGACGCAGGGCCGGCACTTTTCCCTTAGCTTAGAATTTCATTGGCAGACAGAACGGCTGCCTTAAAATTTTGCTTAATGCTGAGACTGGAGTCACATCCCGACACAGAACTTGTCCTGGTGTGCCACAGTTCTCGGAGAGAATTTGCTGGTTTTGATTCACTGGAGGGGACAGTTAATGTCTACATTAGTGCCCAGATCAGAAACGTAGTCTACCTGGGACCTTAAAAGTTAATGTTGGCTTCTTTCCTTGTACCCCAAGAAATTGGTACATGGCATGATGTGTTAAAAATCCTTTTCTCTTCTAATTTTCTTTTCTTTTTTTTTTTTTTTTTTTTTGCTTCATTCTGCGCAATGGAACATACCTATAATCCCACCGACTCCGGAGGCTGAGGCAGGAGGATCGCAAATGCAATTCAGTGAGACCGCCTCAAAATAACAAAAATGAAAAAGGGTTGGGGATGTAGCTCAAAAAACGTGGCGTTCATTCTTCTAGTTTGTAAAGTAACACAAAATAATCTCTGATTCTAAAATATATGTGTTGATATATTAATATTTGAATACTAACCAGTCCAGGTTTTCCCCTCTGAATGGATACATGCATATAAATTACTTATTAAATATATGGGTTCAGAACACATATGCAATCTGTGTTTTACTTTTTTTTTTAATTAATGTGGTGCAGGGGGTCAAACATGGTCTCTTGCGTGCTAGCAAACACACATTTCCAGCCCTGCCTTCCACATTTGTGTGTAACATTTTTCTTTTATCATTAAATATTCTTCTTAAACAATCTTTTCAATTGCTGTCACATAATATGCTAAATTCATAAAGCTTTCCCATTTGTACTCATTAAGCTCTTCCAAGATCCTCACTATTATAACAGTGAGAAATATTTTCTTAAAGTAATTAAAACTAGGCTAGAAACCCATCTTGTGCCATCCTTTGCTAGATCCTCAGATTGGATTCCTAGTCTCAGAATTATAAAGTTACAAGACATGACTTTTTTTAGGTGCTAGTACTTGTTGCTAAACTGCTTTCCCGGAGCTATGCAGAGCCACTCTCCCAGCAGCCTGACTCACCTTCTAAAGAGGGCCTGTTGGATGGGTGTGCAGCTGCCAACTAAACTTCCTCAAGTAGCTCATGGGGGCATCAGACACACCCAAGGCAGAAAAAAAGTCAGCTACTGACTGGTTGAGACCCATTTGGAAGTACCAGGGGAAGCGACACTCCCTTAAAGGCCCATCCATTCAAGATCAGGATAGCACATATTTCCTGTGGTCACTTAGATCCTCCTGCAGCAATCTGTCTGTGCTTTGTCTCTAGCATAATACATAATAGTTGGGGCAAGCAAAGAGCAGGGTGCTGAAATTCAATCATTCATTTAACAAGTATGTAGAAAGGACAAGCCAGGCACCATTCTGAGTGATGTGGAAACCATGATGAACAGAAGTGACATGTCCCTGTTATGGGCAAATTGTGTCCCTCCAAAAGACATGTTGAAAACAACTTCTGGTACCTTGGAATGTGACTATATTTGGAAGATAGGACTACTAAATAAATAAATAAGTAGATAAATAAATGGAAGATAGGGTGATTAAGGTAAATTGAGTTCGTTAGAGTGGACCCTAATACAGTCTGACTAGTGTCCTTATAAAAAACAGAAATCTGAACAAAGATAAAACAGGAATATGTGCACACACAAAAAGGCCATATGAGGACCCAGTGAGAAGGTATCCATCTGCAAGTCAAAGAGAGCAAGGGTCGGCCTTAGAAGAAATGTCAACTAGCCAGGTGTGAGGGCACATGCCTTGTAATCCCAGTGGCTTGGGAGGCTGAAGCAGGAGGATTGTAGGTTCAAGTCCAGCCTCAGCAACTTAGTGAGGCCCTAAGTAACCTAGGGAGACTCTATATCAAAATAAAATAAAAAATAAAAAGAGCTATGGATGTGGCTCAGTGGTAAAGTGACCCTGGATTTAATCAGGGAAGGAGAAGGAGAAAAAGAAAAAGAAGAAAACACTCCTATCCACTGACAACTTGATCTTGGACTTCCAGTTTCCAGAACAGTGAGAAATAAATTTCTATTACTTAAGACACCCAATCTGTGGTATTTCATTTTGACAACACTAGTAAATTTGTGAGGTTCCCAGCCTCAAGGAGCTTCCACTTTGGTGGGAGAAACTTGACATTTATTGAATGATCAAGCCAATGATATCCCAGTACACATCTGTTAGTGCAATTACATTCAGAAAATTGGGGAGCATGAGAACAGGTGGCAGGGAACCCTAATGTAGTCCCTGGATCCAATGGCCAATTAGTTCTCTGGGTAAGACTGTGGTGGGAGCAGAGGAAGAGAGTGTTCTGGGAGAAATTAGGGAGTGCTCAGTGTCAAGGTCCTGGAAGGAGTTGGGAGTAGAGAACACAGTGTTTGGAGTATAAATTAAGGTGTGTTGGGATGCAGGGTTATATTGGAAAACTGCAGGATCTGTGGGGAGCTGCTTACAGCCTGCTTAATCCAGAGAAGTGGCAGGATCTCATCTATCTCACAAAACTCCTTCTGGTTAGTTGCCTTTTGGAAAAGGAAGTGTAAGTGGAGGAAGCTCAATGGTAAAGTGTCCCTGGGTTCAATCCCCCCCCAAAAGGGGGGCATGGTTGTTGCAATTTTGCCTCCTCTTTTTTTGTTGTAAAAGTAACATATGCTGATTTTTACACACACACACACACACACACACACACATACACACGAAGAAATCTCTGATGAAGAGCTAGAGGTGACAGCAGAGATTCAAGGTGAGATATGAGGGGGACATGAAACAAGACAATGAAAGTGAGGATGAGTAAAGTAAGGCCAAGCTGGAAGGAAAATCTTCAGATCAGGTAATCAAATCTCTTACTACAGAACTTGGTGGTTCTGGGTGATGGGATAAAACAAATTTGTCATGGATAAAAGTGACAGGTGGATTGATAACATACATTCACTCATCAACATTTATAGGTGTCTTGTGTATGGCAGGCAGTTGCCATACTAAGGTTTTAGAGAAGGGTACCACGTAGGGAGTACAATTTAATTGCACTGGGAAGAAGGGCAAGAGGCCCTGTTGATGTAGGGAAAGCCCAAATTATGGTCTATTTTTAAAGAAGTACAGTTTGGCTCTATCCAGATGTATGAAGCAACATGAACCTGATCTATGGCAGAGCTAAAATTGGATCTAAGAAGTCCCTACCTAGGTGTAATTAAAGTGATTTGAAAAGAAAGAAATTTCCTCATGGGTTAAACTTTTGTACTTTATTCATACAGCAGCCTGTGTTCAAACTTTTTCTGCTTAGCTTAATCTGCGCAGAAATAAAAGTTCAGCAAGCAAGTATGTAGCCAAATTTTATTCCTCAAATTTTAGGACATGTTTATCATGTTTATTTAAAAGGACCACTTTCTCTGAGACTACTCAAGCTTAACCAATCAGATTATCTCTCCCAAGAGTTTGGAATTTGGGACCAAGAGACACTAACTAGCTTGTGTGTGACTAGAGCTCACACAAATAGAAAGGGAGGCTCAGAAGTGGCCAGGTGCACGGAGAAGTAGAGATCTCTCTGCAAAGAAAGAGAGATCAAGACTAGGGAATGCGGTGGGAAAACAAGAGACAGAGACCCTCTGGTTGTTGTTCCTGAGTCCCACTATTCATGTGTCTCCCTATGAGTGCTAAGATGGTCCTTGTGGTGATTGCCATTTCAAGGTCACTTTCCCTAAATGCCCTCTTCCCACCCCCTTGTGAATGGTGTTGGGAGATAAGTGTTTGCCTCGTGTCTGGAAGCTGCAGAGCCAGGACCTTCCTTTCCCTGTCACTGTGCCCATTTACCCAGGCTAAGCCAGTGAGATGTTCTGTCCTAGGACTAAGTCCTTGTGGAGCTTTAGGAAGTCAGATGTTGTAGTTGCAATGGCAGCAAATAACCAACCTTTTACTGCTGAAGATCAAAGAATCACAGCTGTGGCTTCTGCTGCTCAAGTCCCATCCATTTCCCAAGCCAAAGCCTCCAAAGCTCCCTTGAAATCTTTTCTTGCTTCTGATGCCCAGATGGGGTTGCTGAAGCTAGCAGCCAGGAATCCCAACTGACAGAGTCCCTGCACATTTGGCTTGGAGTAATTCGAAGCACAGTTCTGTTTTTTTTTTTTTTTTTTGCTGCAAAGAACTTTGACTACAATAGTCATGACATTAAGCATACTAACGTTCTGTTTTTCTGCCTACCTTCTCCTCTCCTTTGGGATTATGATAAGTATCCAGACCAGGAGAGAAGAAAGGGAGTAAAGAATATTAGGAGTAAAGTTTTGATGAATACCAAAAAACTCTCCAGAGGATGAGGCGAAGTCTTGGGGGGGGCGGTATATGTCTGTGTTGCTAGGGGGATTTATATGAGGTGAGATCTGTCTTGGGGCAGCATGAAAGGAATAACTTTCAGTGTTGTCACATATAGCTGCACAGATAGATAGTGCACTGAACAATTACACTTGGTGACCTTATAGACCATAGTCCTATATAGGAGCAGAAAAGGGAGTAATCCCTCTTCTGCCCATTGTAAAGGGTGGTCAACACTCTTATACCAAATAAATAAATAGATAGATAAATAAATAAATAAATAAATAAATGGCAGGTTAGTGAGAGAAAAGCCTAAGAAGTTCATTTGCGTCTCCCCCTACCCCCACACCTGCTAGAACTGGGGATTGAACCCAGGGCTTTGTGCATGCCAGGTATGCTACGTCCCTCTTTCTTTTCTTTCCTTTTAAAAAAATTTTGAAGCAGTATCTAAGTTATGCAGGCTGGCTTCCAACTGGCGATGGTCTTCCCTCAGCCTCCTGAATAGCTGAGATTGCACGTGTGTATCACCAAGTGGTCTGGCTTGATGGTAGTTTTGTGACACGAAAGCCCAAGCCCCAAGCTCCAGGATGAACTATCCACTTTTATGCTTAGGTTTGACAAAGCACAGACAACCATGCAGAAATGTGATTAGACCCAAAGAGCATGATCAAATGCTAATGGACTGTAAGGACAGCCAGCAAGGCCTGTCTGACACTCCTTCCTGCTGCCTATAGGGCAGGGTCCTTTCTGAAATGAAGGTCTTATGATCTACTATTAGATAAGGGAGGCTAGAGAATTTCCTTATGGTCAGCTCCAAGAAAGAAAAACAGGGAAAAATTAAAGTGATATTTTTAGGTTTCAT